GGGGGGGGGCGAAGGGGGCATACCTGGGGGGGGGGGTCAACTTCAGAATGTTAAAAAACGTCATTTATCAGGCAATATATAAATGCATATCTTTTATGGGAAAAGGTCGCCTTAACTCAGACTTTCCCCCGGGGCATCTCTTGCTTGCCACGGTCCTGGACACATAGGGGAGCGCAAACCACTTTTGTGTCCACAAGTTGAGACACGTAACGAAAAAAAAACAACACCTGTTGTCTTTGAGTTTCACTCTAAAAGATAAGGTTAAGTATTTACTAAAAAATCATCGTTAGATGACATAGTGAAAAGTTACGCAGTGTAATGCTCGTGCTCTCAGAAACACAACAGAGCAACAACTCCATGATGTCATACCCGCATAGTAGAATTCTTAGCATGCTATTTTTTTTTTTTTTTTTTAAACTTTCCACTTTAAGCGTCACCAGCTTTAAAAGCCTAATTTATGGCTACTTACTTCCACACGGTTCCTTGCCGAGTCAGATTGTAAAGAGAGAAACTTAAGAGGACTTACTGGGAGATTTGTCAGGTTATAACGTCCGGATTGGTATAAGATCACTGTATTGACTTGTGCTGCGCTCTATTAGAGCTACATTAAATCCAGTCCATATTTTACAATTGTCAGACGACAGGGGCGGCAAATCCATACATTATTGCGTCTGATGGGTGCCAGACATTAAGTGATTGCCCTTTGTATCGAGCAATTTGCTTTACTGTTAAGAAATATTAATAGACTAAAGAGTGTGTAAGACAAAAAGTTATGGTAAAGAAATACTTTAGGGGAGAGAGAATGGAAAAAATCGAAAATATGCAACTAAAATAAACTGTATTGATTTACCGCAGGTCAAATTATTTAATTGAAAATAAGTTTTAACAGAGACACAAACGTATATTTGGAGAAACAAGCTAATGTCTGGAGAAAAGAGAATTCAATTATACTGAGGCTTAAAAAGGTTCAGTTTTTTTTACACCGGGTCCGGGTATTTTGAGAAAATATCCGGTACGTTAAAGTGTTACAAAAAAAGTTAACTTCTCAATTTCTGTAATATAGGCCACCCTTTAAATAACCCTCCTACGGACATCTTACCTGCCGTTCTTTAAACAATAGGCTAACAGACAATCCTACAGACAGTCCTACAGACAGTCCTACAGACAGTCCTACACCATACCCGTGGCTCTTTTTTTATTAAAAATAAAATTGCCCCCCCCCCCCCCCCCCCCTGAAGAAAAAATAAATCAAAATATTTAGCGGAGTTCAACAGTCACGTATGAAGCCAGCTGCATGACTGTTTATTTTTAACTTAGTACTAATATTATAAAACATGTAAAGTGGGGGAGTGCGGTTTCGAAGAGGCAGCAGGGCGAACCAGAAGCAAAAAAATATATATAATATAAGAGTTGAATGAACTGTAAGATATGTGGATAGACAGGCAGACATGGATAGACAGACATAAATGTAGATCGATAATCAGATATGTTGACACAGGCAGTTCTGAAACTAATCAAAGAGAGCCACATGTATGGTACACCAATACCGATTCCATTGATCTATCCTACTATATGTTTCTTTCACAGCTTCAAACGTCCGTTATATATTTTATGATCAACAAATAGGCATTGACAATATATGTAGGTTTTATTTGTAGGTTATATATGTAGGTTATATTTGTAGGTTATATATGTAGGTTAAATTTCTAGGTTTAAGTTGAAACATTTATCAATGTACAAATACTTCATAAATAATATTTTTTTAATCTTTCTTTTTTTTTTTTTTGAATTAAACATAATAATAATTTTCAAAATGCTTTAATTCTAATATTTACTTTTTGTTACTTGATAAACGTCAATGACAATGCCACTCAATGGCGTAGGAAGGGGAGCCGGGCGGGGCGGGGGGGGGGGCGATCCGCCCCCTTGCGGCACCTTTCTTCTCTATTTAGGGGTGTTCTGCAATTTCGGTTAAGTCAAATGAAAAGAAAGGGATTAAAAGACGCAAAGCATAATTTATGTTGGCTCTATGAAAACATTGGCTCATTTCTATACAGTGTGTTTATACTAAATTTTCTGACTTAGTTAAATAGAAATATTGTGCTGGGAAAAAGCGCTAAGTAGAACAAAACAAGCCGTCAGCTAGGTCGACAGTCGAGTCAACTAGGTAAACAGTCAAGTCAACTCGGACGACTGTCAAGTCAACTAGGGCGACAGTTA